GAGACATGACAATAAATGAAATCAGTGTTCTCTGACTCGTTTCTAGAGGGAAGAATTATTATAAAGGACATTATTGGCCCACATGGGAGAAATCTGGTACTTTTTTTAGAGTAATGTTATAGTTCTTGGGTGTAATAGTGATATCATGGGTGCGTTGAAGGTCCTTGTTCTTAGGGGATACTTGCTGAAGTATTTAGGGCTAATGGCTCATGGGTGAGAGGCTGATTTACTTTCAAATGTGCAATTACTTTCAAATGATTCAGAGAAAAAAGTATGCGTGCATGTGTGTCCGGGTGTACAGTGACACAGACACCCACAGATCAAGCCAATGGCGCACAACCTAAACACCTGGTGAATGCAGGTGAGTGGATGGGTTCGCTGTATTCTTCCAGCTTTCCTGTGGGTCTGGAAGTTTTCATGATGCAAAAGGTGGGGTGGAGACTTAAGTTCACTCTACAAGAAGCTGGCTACATTGGTTGCCTGCAAGCGACTGGGTGGCTGGAGGACGGGAGGAGGCACATTTTTCACTGTAGTATACACACCTTTCTGTGCCTTTTGAATTTTGAATCCAAGTTGGTCCGAAGTTTGTGGGTTATTGTTAAGCTGAATTTTGAATCCAACAAAGGATTCCGTATTATCTATACCGAAATAAAGTTTGTATTTAAAAACTTACTCCTCTGTAATATGAACCCTTTATAGCAGCAGTTCTCAACCTGTGGGTCGCGACCCCTTTGGTGGTCGAATGACCCTTTCACAGGGGTCGCCTAAGACCATCCTGCATATCAGATATTTACATGACGATTCATAACAGTAGCAGCATTACAGTTATGAAGTAGCAATGAAAATAATGTTATGGTTGGGTCACAACATGAGGAACTGTATTTAAAGGGCCAGAAGGTTGAGAACCACTGCTTTATAGTATCAAAGCTTGCTGAATTAAATTTTCCCAAATAGACAAACACTAAGGCCCCTGATGATGGTATTTTTTCATTAAATGTTCTATAAAGAAAGTAATACTAAAATGATAAAGTAAAAGAGTTGCTGTTAGTGTCTGTGGCTATCCTGGAGTTAGAATGCCAGGGGACACCTCACCAGTCCTTCCCAATCCATGCTGCACCCAAGGCCGCAACCTTATCCAACACACCTGCTGCTTCAGCCGCTCCCCTAAGCCCACAGCACGAACACACCTGGCATCATGCAACTGACCTAGTGCCCAACACTTTCTTGGCATAAAAATCACAGATTACTTTGGCGCTGCCAATGTAGGCTTCTTGTTACCTTTGGATAATTGCAACTTTGGGGAGCCAGAGATAGTTCTTTCCCCACTGAAGCATTTTATTTTTAAAGGAAGGAAAAGAAATGACTATGCTATGTAAGTAATTACAGTAACAAACCTAAAGCAGATCAATACACACTGATATAAAATTATCCTCAAGCGGTGCTTGTATGTACCTGTGTTCTCTGGGAAAATACAGAGAGCCTAGAAACAGTTGGCCCCTGGGAGGGAAACTTGGGGAAGGAAGACGGACTTTTCACTTTAAACTATTTTGGAACGGTTTTTAATTTTTACCAATTGCATGCTTTACTTATTTTTTTTTAATGCACAAAAATGGTTTGATAAATGGTGTCCAGGTATCATCTGCTCTATGAGGGGTGAGTTTTTAAAACTAGAATAAAAGAGAATAATCTATAATTCCACCACCCAGAGAATTGCTAATGTTCTAGTACATTTCCATCTCATCAAGTTTCTGGTGTTTTGTAAGCAAAAGGGTCTTCTGTTTTCTAATTTGCCACATTGTCTCTCCCTATCATTTTTCTAAAAGTGAAAACAAATTTTTTATTAAAAAATTTTACATTTTAACATGTACTTTATTTTATACTTAAATGTGCACTTAAAATTATTTTGTAAGCCTTTCCCCAAATCTTTATTTTTTCAAAACTTTTAAAATGGCTACATAGTACTTCATCATATCCAATCATTCTCCTATTATTAGACATTTGGGTTTTTAGAAAATATTTTTTTGCCAAGTATCTATAGTATGCTCTATCTGGAGTAAGAAAGGAGAGGAAACAATAGTGTATCTGCTTAGCTGTACAAAAATAGCATAGGATAAATAAACTAGAAACTAGCCCAGCCGGTGTGGCTCAGTGGTTGAGTGTTGATCTGTGAATCAGGAGGTCGGGGTTCGATTCCCAGTCAGGGCACATGCCCAGGTTGTGGGCTTGATCCCCAGTGGGGCGGGGGGGGGGGGGGAGCGTGTGAGAGACAGCCAATCAATGATTATATCTCATCACTGATGCTTCTATCTCTCTTTCCCTCTCACTTCCTCTCTGAAATCAATAAAAATATATTAATAAAAGAAAAAGGAAATTGGCTCCTTTAAGAAATGGTTGATTCCAGGGCAGAGGCATGCACAGTAAAAAAGGAACAAGGAACATTTTGTTCTGCCAGAAATTAAAGAACGTGCTCAAAGCATGATGCAAACATGTCAGAAGGACCAGCAGCCAATTTGGAGGGATGCCCACTGGCTATCAAATTAAACTGAGCATCAAGCCCTGGCCAGTGTGGCTCAGTTGGTTGGGCGTCATCTGGTGCACCGAAGGGTTGCCGGGTCCATTCCTGGTCAGGACACATGCCCAGGTTGTGGGCCCAATCCCCAATAGAGGAGGCAGCCGATCGATCGATATTTCGCTCTCACATCCATATTTCTCTCTCTCTCCCTCCCTCTTCTTCCTCTCTCTCTAAAAATCAATGTATTTTTAAAATAATAAATAAAATAAACTGAGCATCAAAATAAATGACTAACAATTTATAACCCACTGAATAAAATAAGAATCTATGAGTTCATGCTGATATAAACAAACATATGAGTAAAAGGGGGAGAAGGAAAAGCTTTTTCTTAGATTACAATGCCAATAATTAATGCAGAATAAATTATGGAATCAGAAAGTCTGTATTTGGTGACCATCACAATAATAGTTGATTCAGTAAAAACGGATTCAATTAGGAATTATCAATAATTATCAATGGGAGCTTAAACGAGTATATGCTAATCGGATGAGCAACTGGATATCCAGTTTCATAGTATTTCCCAGAAGAGACTTATTAAGATGCATCAGACACCATCGTAAGCAAATGTTCAAAGGCAACATCACCAGTAATGGGACAAGTCCACGCTGTGAGGACACATCCTTCCTGTGGCAATCCTACCAAAACTGTAGGCCCCACATCTAATCCCAAAGAAATATCAGAGAAATCCAAATTCAGGGACATTCCATAAAATAATTAGTTGGTACTCTTCAAAAATATAAAGGGCAGGAAAGCCAAAGAAAGATAGAGAAACTATTACAGATAAAGATATGACAAGAAAACTAGACAGCAATCCTGGATTGGATCCTAGACCATAAAAACAATACAAAATCATTTTTTCTTTTTTGCTAAAAGGGATATTACTGTGAAAATTAACTAAATCTGAATAAGGTCTGTAGATTAGATAATATTTTTCTTCCTCAAAGCTGATTTCTTGATTTTGATAACTATAGTAAGGTTATGTAGGGAAATATCTCTGTTTTTATAAAATAAACACTGAAGTCCAAAGTATTTAGGGGTTAAGGACATCATGCCTGCAATTAACTCTAAAAAATTATGGTAAAGGGTTTGTAAAAATTCTTTATACTATTCTTGCAACTTTTCTATAAGTCTGACATTATTTTAAAACACATACACACAACGCGCACACACACACACACACACACACACACACACACACACACATCCCTTTGGTACCAAAGGTAATACACTGAACATCCTTGATCATAAATAATCTTTGCTTCCTTAGGATTCTGAGTAGAATTACTAAATCAAAGGTATACAGCTTAAAAAATATTGATGTGTATGGTAGAGAAGTTTTTGCATACCTCTAACTGTGGAGGAGCGAGGCAGTGGAAACGGAGGACTAAGAGGTTAGACTGTGGGGTGAAAGCAGGTGTGTAACTGGAACTAAGGAATGCGCTCAGAATGAGTGGGAACCAAATGCTAGGTTGGGCAGATGGGGGTGAGGGATCAAAGCTGATGACATGAGACTCTTTAGAAACATAACCCTCAAAAAAGAAAGAAACATAACCCTCTGTGGTTTAGCTGATGGGCCACTGTAATTTACGTACACAATGACATGGTAAGAGCAGACTCCGGTATTGGTCAAATGACAGTGCCCTGTATCCCTCCCTCTATATGCAACCCCCCAGTGCAAGCCAGTTATTCACCACTGAGTCACACCGGGTCCCTGAGCCTTTCTGGCTGGCACCCAAGAGCCAACTACAACTTCTCCACCAAGTACATAGTCCTATGACCTAATGGCTTGCTATATGATGCATTAGTAAATAATCTAAAATAAGAATTCATTTTAAATGCCCATAATATGCTCAACCAAGTACATATAGTAAGCCCTCACTTAAAGTTGTTAATAGGTTCTGTGACTTTAAGTGAAACGACGTATAATGAAACCAGTTTTTCCACAGGCTAATGGATGTAAACAACAGTTAAGTTCCTACAGCATCTCATGGTTGTAACAACACAATGTTGAATGAAACGATGTTACTCAAGGAACTGCTGTATATTAATTTGCTTCTTATTGAATAATTGCTATTTGCCAGCGACTAAGTGCTTCATGTGGGTTCTACCATTTAATCCTCCAAATAACTCCATGGGGGTGGTAGTAGCATTATGTGCATTTCACTGATGAGGAAAATTAAGTCTGGAGAAGTAAGTTAAGGTCAGACTTGATCCATGTCATAAAGCTTAGATTCAAATCCATGAACCTGACTCTCGAGTCTTCACTCGAAACCACAATGCTATGCTGGATAAAAAATGTTCATTGAGGAGAAAAAAGGCAAAGAATCACACATCGGGAAATTAGGAGGAACATTACAGTCTATTAAAATACAAATCCCACTTTTCCCTTTCGCAATCACCCAAGCACTCATCGATGAAGGGAGCGTACCTGACAGAAGAACTGTTGCTGGGTTCCCGCTCCCGGTGCGTTACTGAAGGTGCTGGTAGGTTTGGAAGCAGCAGCTGGAAGACGATGAGACACACGGACCGGTACTGGAGTCCTGTTTGGCTGGGTCAGCTGATCTCCTGTAAAGTTTGATCCTGATGCACCCGACTGAACCGCAGACCCAAGACTAGGATGGACAGTGCTGGACGAGCTAACAGGGAACCGGCTAGGTCCTGACATGCTTGTCACTGAGAGCATGGTGGTGAAGCCGGGTCTTCCCTGGGAGACGCTACTCTGCCCAGGCGACAGGTGTAAGACCGTTGGTGATGCCTGTTGCAAGGGCATCTGTCCACCAACAATCTGAGGGGAGGCATGATTGACTATCACTGGACTTCCAGAGGCGGCAAACGTCTGCCCAGACACCAGCTGGACGGTGTTCTGGTTGTTCAGCATCTGCCCGGAATATGGCTGGTTGGTCCTGAGCATGTTGGAGGAGTTTCTGTTCAACATTACATGCTCTGAGGCCGCTTGGCCAGAAATGAGCTGAGAAGACTGGGTCTGAACAAGTTGCCCATTTATGGTCTGGACGTGATGTACCGAGTTGGAGCTGACGGAAAGGCTTGTAGGTACGAGGAACTGACTTTGGGGGGTGTGAGACTGGCCCATGGGAGAGTGAATGACGATACTACCCGCAGCGCTGCTCACTGGCTGTGGGGTGACTGGTTTTCTTGTGTTCTGTTGGTTTACGATGTTCACAGACATGTGCGGGCCAACGACTGAACCCTGGGGTGAGCTCGCAGAGGCAAAAGAGATCCCTTGCTGCACGTGATGCTGCTGTATTCCCAAATTGTTCACATTGTACGTATTTTGCTGGCCCATCTGGATGGGCTTTGGCTGGATGTTTATTGGGACTTTGTTGGAATTTGGTGCGAGACCCCTTTGTATGATGATGTTATGCACAGGTAAAGATGTTTGAAAATTTGTGCTGTTAAACGGAACAGTAACAGGCTGTGCTACTGGACTGGAACTCGAGTTCCCAAACAAGGAGTTGCCATTGGGAGTCTGTCTATGTACCAGAAGCCCTCCACTCACATTGGATGGGGCTTGCTGCCCGCTGCCCTTTAATATGATTTGAGATCCATCTAGGTTGTTAATAGTCATCATGGAAGGTTGATTACCAAATGACCCAATTAACTGTATCTGACCAGAACCACTCAGCTGACCGCTATTAGACAAATGCTGGCTGGGCACGCTGATCCCCACGTGTTGCATAAATCCATGTTGCACACCCACTGTATTGCTTGCAAACGATGCTCCAACAGGCACGTGAGTCACCCCTATAGGCTGCAGCGTCTGACCTGAGTAATTAGAAACATTAGAAGCCTGAGTATAGGATGCTGATGAAGAAGGATGAAGCTGAGCTTGTGCAAACTGCTGGCTTGAACCTATACTGGCATCCAAATATGCCTCTTCTGCCAGCGTCTGCTCAGTGATATTGGCCTCCTGCAAGGATTTCTGAAGGATGTCGAAAGGTTGGTCCTCACTGAGATCAGGAAGAGGAGAAGACTCAAGTTCATCTTCAAGAAACTGAAGGCTATTGGAAAGTGGCAGTCCATCACTGGGCCCTTCTCCAAGCTGGTTGCTCACAGCTTTGAGGGATGACTTAGGATCAGCATTCTATTAAAAAAAAAAAAGCAATATGTTACACATGGCATATCCAACCTTTGAAAGAGATTCTTATAAAAACAATTAATCTCACTTCTGAATACAAATAAAGCATGGCAGTTTGAACACAACTCTCCGAACTGCTCACCTTATTCTCATACTGTATTTCCTTACTCGTGATGTTGAACATTACTGTTGCAATTATACACGTTCATTGCTCTGGTAAATCAGTTTATAGAAAACAGATAAATAACAGAAAGATACTGACAACTATCTGGAGTTTAGCTTCATCTAAAAAAAATTATTTAGAGAATGAGAGAGAGAGAAAAACACACGATGATTTGTTGTTCCACCCATCCATGCATTCATTGCTTGATTCTGGTACGTGCCCTGACCAGGGATTGAACCCACAACCTTGGTGTACTGGGATGACACTCTAATCAACTGAGCCACCTGGCCAGGGCTAGCTTCATTTTTTTGAGATACTGGCACAGACTTTAATTTTCATAATTGCTTCCAGGCCAAGGCTTAAGCGCAACTCAGCCTGGGGTAGGTATGTATTGAGGAGATGGCCATGTCTAATCCTTTGTACAATGGGAGTCTAAGTGAGTTTTGGGAGTTCAAGGTGTTGTTTTATGAGAGATCCAGAAGGTATCAGATTCAGCCCTATCTTTCAAGGCTTCTCAGAACTCCAGTTCTAACCTCCCCACCCAGGCAAGACTAGTCCAGGAAAAACTAGCTTCCTACATAAAATGAGTAAATGGTCATTTGATTTCTTAGAAGTGATCAGCTTATTATAATGCTTTAAAAAGTGCTTCAGCATCCTATTCAAAAGCAAGTCTCTCAACATTTATTTATCAAGCACCCTCTTATGTGTTTGTTTCTGTCCTTAAGGAAAACATATTCCAACTAGAGACAACAGTATATAGGCATATGAAGGGAACCGAACACGGTCACCATAAATAAGATACATTCTCACTATTCCAGCAGTTTTTCCTGGGACATGTCAAACTTATAAAAGATATGGACTCTATCCCTCATCTTGGAGCCTGTGAAGGCGTACTGGGAACAGGACTTCTGCAATGACAAATGGGGGTGAAAGGCTGCGGTCCAAGGCCATTAACAATTTGTTTTGTTTTGTTCTGTTAATCCTCACCCGAGGATATTTTGCTCCATTTATTTATTTATTTTTTTAGAGAAAGTAGAAGGGAGGAAGGGAGCGGGGAGAGAGAGAAACATCGATGTGAGAGATACATTAACTGCTTGACTCCCACACACACTCCAACCGGGCTGGGGTCAAACTGGAAACCCAGGTACGCGCCCTTGACTGGGAATCAAACCCACAACACTTTGGTGCGTGGGCCGACGCTCTAACTAACCACTGAGAAACACTGGCCACGGCCACGGGCATTTTTGCTGGCTATAAGCGGGGTCTCTGGAATTATTTCAAGAGAGAGGATGAGCGAGAGAGAAAAAAACACAATGATTTGTTGATCCACCCATCTTTTGCTTTTTTTTTTTTTTAACCATTTGTACTCCATAAGCATCTATAGATGCAAGCGGTGGACCTTTTTAAATTAAATTCAAGATATCATGGCAGTTAACTGGTTAATTTTTAAAAATATGTTTTTATTGATTTTTAGAGAGGGATAAAGAGATAGAAACATCTATGAGACAGAAACATCAATTGACTGCCTCCTGCATGTCCTCTACTGGGAATCAAACCAGTGACCTCTTGGTTCATGGGTCAACACTCAACCACTGAGCCACACTGGCCGGGCGAGGATATGTTGTTTATTGATTTTGAGAGCGAGAGAGAGAAAGAGAGAGAGAGAAACATCAATTGGTAGCCTATGGTACCCTCCCCGCCCAGGGATTGAACCTGAAACCTAGGAATCGAACCCACAACCTTTTTGGTGTATGAAATAATGGTCCAATCAACTGAGCTACCAGGCCAGGGCACACACAGTTCTTAAAATTGAAGGTGTTCATGCTGGAGATGAAACTGAATTCTACCTAGACACGAGATGCGGTTATGTGTATAAGGCAGAGAACAGCACAGTGACTCCTGGTGGCAAACCGAACAAAACCAGAGTAGCCTGGGCCAGGAACTCGTGCTCATGGAAACAGTGGCATGACTCGGGTCAAGTCCCAAAGTAACCTTCCTGCTAAGGTCATTGGACACAGAATCTATGTAATGCTGTAACCCTCAGGGACTTAAATGTATTGAAAAGTAAATAAATAAAAGGGACTTTGTTCTCTTGTTTAAAAAAAAGATATGGAATCAACAGCTATTTAAAATAAGGTGAATTGCCTTAACTGGTTTGGCTCAGTGGATAGAGCGCTGGCCTGTGGACTGAAGGGTCCCAGGTTCGATTCCGGTCAAGGGCATGTACCTTGCTTGCGGGCACATCCCCAGTAGGAGGTGTGCAGGAGGCAGCTGATCGATGTTTCTCTCTCATCGATGTTTCTAACTCTCTCTCCCTCTCCCTTCCTCTCTGTAAAAAATCAATAAAATATATTTATAAAATAAAATAAGGTGAATTCAATGTAAATGTACTTAATGCTACTGAACTGTACATTTAAAATGAAGATGGAAAATTTTATAATATATATATATTAAATACAATTTAAAAATTTTTTTAACGTGAAGAAAAAATTAAAAGTAGATCAATCAAGAATGAGTGGTCCAATGTGCAAAGCTGTAGGGATTCTCAGTCTGAGCTGCTAGGGCTGGGGATGGAAAATGCAAAGAACTACGTAGAAAAGCCGGGACTGGTGCCCTGGACCCCAGTCAACCAGCAGTTGAAATGGGGCTAATGTGGTCTCGGTCAGCTGGGCGCCATCTCAGGACTTGGAGAATCATAGGCTTCAACGTAGTAATTTGGGTATCGCCTCCAGGCAGGACCCCTTTCCTCCAGGTCAGGCTTCTTGTGTGGATGCTCCTGGAACTTGAGAATACAGGCTCCAGAACCCGGTGGCCTGCGTGAGAATGCTAGCTCTGCAACCCCTGGCTGTGTCATTTGGGGGAGTACTAAGCTCTCTGTGCAGTTTCCTCATCTGTAGAATAAGGATAATAACAGAACCTACTTCATAGAGTTATCTCGAGGATTAATGAAGTTAATTATGTTGAACCGTCAGTGCCTCAAACACCCTAGATAAGTTTCAGTTATTATTTTTCTTGTTTGAGGTAAGAATATTTAGCATGTAACTACAATTAAGAATAATTTATTTAAAGCTATACGTAACAAGGTTCAAAACTTTGTAATACTACTTTCTTAGATTATAACATTTCTGAGTCAGTTTAAAAAGAAAGTTGAAAGCTTAGGAAAATGGCATAGTAAATCTCATACAGCTTGTCTTGGCTAAAAGTAGAAAATGTCAGCACAATTCAATAGATTTCCTTTCTATGTCAGTTACAAAAGACAAGGTAATCATTCTCATCATGATACAAAGGCAAGTAAAGCCTCAAATCACAGGCATCAATGAGACAGAAACACTGATCACTGCATTCAGTCTCTCATACTCACACTAGAGTTGGCGAAAATTGAATTTGAATTGGCTGCAGAATATCCTGCATTAGTCAAGTCATCATTGCTCTGCAAAGGCACAAATTCAACAGAGATTACTTTAACTGCAGAGAAGAAACAAAAGTTACATCTGCGGCGTGCTAAGTATTACTTACAGATTTATTACTAGGTCCATGCAGAAAATAGTTCAGTGCTTGTGGGTCTCTAGAAAACAATGAAAAAGGGGAAAGCAACCATAAATGTGTTACCTAGACTTAGGATTCTTTTTCCCAGGGTAAAACGAAAATGACACAATTGCCTGAGTAAAATTGTCTCCCTATTTTAATTCAAGTTCATTAGTAGTTTTTCGTTTTACTTTTTTTTTTTTTTAAATTGATGTTGTTCTATTTCCTATTACCATTCCTGGGACATGTTAGAAAATAAATTTAATAAAGATAAATAAAGCATTACCTAAATTTGATCCCTATCAACCCGAGTCTCTTTACTTGTTAATCCATACTATGATGATTAATTTTTACTTTAAAAACCCATCTGGATTTAATATGCTTATTAGATTGTTTTAGGAGAGGAAACCTCACACAATTGATTCACCCTGATTTTGGAACGAGCATCTTACCCAATAAGATCAAGGAGACACGAGTCATCATCATCATCCATGACAACTATAAGAAAAGGAATAAAAAAACACTGTTTCAGTGAAGTGGATTAAAGCCAGTAGCACCCATGCAACCTAAAAATATACAATGTTCTTTCCTAGATAAATAACTGTACTGCATGTGAGTTTTTCTTCTAATTGCTGATTATTAATGGGATTTTGTTTTTGTGTGTGTGATCATTCAAGAGATAAAGTATTCAATTTAAATAGTTTTTATTGAACACTAATCCTTAACTTACAAGTCAAAAAGGAATCTGGACAAATCAAAGATAGTTGGCAGCAACCCCTCATGCAGATTCCCCGAAGGGACTGTAAACCATCAACAGCAACTTCCTCAAAATGTATCATGACAAGGGGAGAAAGAATATTTTTGTTTTAGAAAAAGATCTCATGGATACAGAAGTCTTTGAATTTTGTGACTGGATGTTTCCAAACATGGTGAGCAATCTGGATTTCTTGCCACATTTGAGCTATCTTTAGGAAAACAGAAAAGCCGCTCTCCCTCCTTTCTGAGACAGAAGAGACACCACAGTCCAGGCAGCACTGCCTCAGGCTTTGCCCCGAAGGTCCCAGGTTCCTCCCTCGGCAGCAATACTGCCAACTGTTCGATTCCAAACAATCTATATCCCAACACTATAAAATCTCAACCCCAATTCCCCCAGCTCCGGGCCCAGAACTCTCTCCCTCCCAGCCATCCGCAGCATCTGCTCAGCCAGCACAGTGACTGTGTTCTGGCTCAAACAATAACAACCCACAAATTCCAAGAGCAGTTCTCTCCCTTTCTCCTCCCTCCCCCGAGATCCTGAGATGCGGGAAACTTACACTAGTGATCCGACACCTGGCAACACTGCTTCACACCCATTTCGAGCCATGCGTGGAATAACTTACATCACGGAATGCCAAGGCCAAGAGTTCTGGAGCGGTTGGAAAGGGCAGTGTGTGAACGGCAGTTGGACGGAGGAATGAAATCCTGAAGAGATGCCCAGAAATGGGACACGCCCGAAGAAGGCAGAGGGATCATTTCTACTTAATGTTTTTTTTCTCCCTTAAAACTGCCATCTCCTCTCCGCTTCCCCCAAACTGCCCATCCTATCAGTCACGGGCTAAACAAATATAAAATCGACTCCTGCTCACGGAAGGACACTTGCTTTCCTCAGGAAGGGTCTGGAAGGGGTAAGTACCCCGGGTGTGGGACTGGCCCCTGGGTGGATGAACTTGTTCAGTTGCTGAGTGATCAGGGAGATTACAATCCATTTGAGTGAAACTTCAGGGGAGGGGAGAGGATGTGTGCGACAGGAGGAAGAAAGAGTTTATCAAAGGTAACCTCCATGGCTTAAACTGTCAAAGGGGCAGCTGGTAAGTGAAAAGTGCTCTTAGGACTAACATGTGGAGCTACTCAAGGGCATGCTAGAATGACTGTACTAACATAATGTGACTTTTGAGGAGTGAAAATGGCCCAGGAAGGAAAACTGTTATTAAATAGGTATGTAGAAACCTGTGTGAAGGGCTTCCCCTAAATCTGATATTTATTATGGTAGAATTGCATTGGCCAGACATCATAATCACATGGATTAATTAAATCTATAAAGTGGATATTACTTCTTTACTTCAACATGACCCTTTATTTTAATCCTCACCCAAGGATACCTTTTCCATTGATTTTTTAGAGAGGGGAAAGGGAGGATGCGGAGAGGAGAGAGAGAAACATGGACTGGTTGCCTCCCGCACATGCCCAGACAGGGGCTGGGAATCGAACCCGCAACCCTTGGGTCTGTGGGGTTGATACTCTAATGACTGAGCCAAACCAGCCAGGGCAATATGACCATTTATTGAGAGATTCACTGTACTCTGTAAATTTATTTATTTTAAAATATATTTTTATTGATTTTTAGAGAGAGGGATAGAGAGATAGAGACCTTGATCAGAGGGAAACATCATCAATCAGCTGCCTCCTGCATGCCCTCTACTGGGGATCGAGCCCACAACCCAGGCATTGAGCCTGACCCGGAATTGAACCAGTGACCTCTTGGTTCATGGGTCGATGCTCAACCATTGAGCCACACTGGCTGGGCTGTAAATTTATTTTTAAGTGTTTAACAGTCTCTGGAACAAACTAATTAAATATATATAATCGCTCGCTATGATGTGCCCTGACCATCAGGGAGCAGCACAGAACATGGCGGGCGACCAGCAGCGGTGGCAGGGCACTGAGGGAGTGAGGGAAGGAGGAGGCAGGGAGGTGGGGGCATGCAGATGGCGAAGGAAGGAGGCGGGGAGGCAGGGAGGTGGGGAAGCTGATAGGCCCTTATCACCGGCCAGGCCTAAAGACCCTACCTGTGCACGAATTTCATGCACCGGGCCTCTAGTGTAAGATAGTCTAAAGAAAGACCCCACAACACTTTTACAACTATCCCAGCTTCTCTCACTATGTTACACCTGTTCCTAGTTCCTCTAGAAGACAAGGTGCCCAAGGGCTAACAAACGAACTGAGAAAGGAAGCCAGCGCCACTGGGGCTTTCAAACATAGAGGACACTTGCTACCCCAAAGTTCAAAGTGACAAGCTATTCCGTGAGCAGCCCAAATAAAAACAACTTTACAAGAGTGGATGCAATGAAAAGCCACTGTGCATCTTCCCTGACCAAACCTCCCGGGCGCTCAAACACTTGGCTGACAGAACCCTTCCAGGGAATCCGCCCTCGTCAGTGGCAGCGGTCCTACCAGAGAGACCTACCCTTTGGCCCCCCTGGGTAGAACTCTATGAGCCTTTATACTGGGGGCACCCTGAGAATTCTACCTTTTAAAGGGCCACACTCGTTTCTGACTTTAAACAGTCTCAAATGAAAAGAGGTGAACCTTACTCTATCGCCAGCTCTACACAGTGACAAAATACAGCCACAGTACAGCTTAATCCAGTAGTTCTTTCCCCCAGGAAAGTACAGTTGTACAGTTTGACTATGATCCTAAAGTGGGAAGACAATCTGAGGACCAGAAATGGACTCAAAAGTGAAGAGCTCAGTTTTCCTTGGAAAGGTTCTCCCTTGCCTTCTGGACTCCTGTTTAGGTCTTTTCTCATTAAAGTAACAACCCTGGAGCACTAGCTGGGCCTCGGGCAACAGGTGGATGCTATAAGGCGGCATGAAACGGAAGTCCCTTCTACAGGGGTAGCAAGTGTTCTCTATGTTTGAAAGCCCCAGTGATCTAAAGGGAAATCCCTAGATCAGTGGTTTAAAACCACTTCTTGGCCCCAAATCATGTGCGAGACACATTCCCCTCAGTAACAGCAGGGCACACAGCAGAATCTGTCATGGACAGAAGGGGGCTGTAGCTCCCTGACAGCAGGCGCCCCAAGAGTTCAGAGATCCCTGCCCCAGATAGCTGACTACCAGTCTTAAAAAATTAAAGCTAATATTTAAAATTGTTCTGAATGGAGTCAACAAACACTTTGAATAATACCTTTAATCAAGAGAACACAGTGTAGCCTGGCAGGCGTGGCTCAGTGATTGAGCATCGAGCTACGAACCAGGAGGTCACTGTTCGATTCCTGGTCAGGGCACATGCCCGGGTTGTGGACTTGATCCCCAATGTGGGGTTGTGCAGGAGGCAGTCAATCAATGATTTTTCTCTCATCATTGATGTTTCTATCTCTCTCACCCTCTCCCTTCCTCTTGAAATCAATATATACATATATATGGCTAATATGCAGTGTCCCCTTGGGAGTTTGACCGGGAGAACGGGAGTTCGATCGCTTGCTATGATGTGTGCTGACCAAAAGGGGGCAGTGCAGAACATGGCAGGCGACCAGCCGCAGCGGTGGGGCGCTGAGGGAGCAAGGGAAGGAGGAGGCGGGGAGGCGGGGAGGCGGGGAACCTGATCGGCCCTGATCGCAGGCCAGGCCTAGGGACCCTGCCCATACACAAATTTCCTGCACCAGGCCTCTAGTAAAAACATATTTTAAAAAAAAGAGAGAGAATCACTTCAAATATACAACTAGAGAACCAAGATGGCGGCATAGGTTAACGCCGGAGTTTGCTGCCTTGAACAACTACTTCAAAAGTGAAACTAAAAAACTGAACGGACATCACCCAGAACCACAGGAACGCTGGCTGAGTGGAAGTCCTACAACTAGGAGGAAAGAGAAACGCATGCGGACACTCAGAGGAGGCGCAGTGCTGAAGTCAAATTCGGAGGTGCAGAGTGCGCGGAGCGGGCTGGCGGCGGAGGGCGCGGTTGGCGTTTTCAATCGGGAGGGAGTCGCAGACTCTGAGCTCCAGATACAGGCGAGTCTTTAGGGACCCAGACTCAAACGGGAGAAGTGGGACTGTCTGGCTTCGGTCAGAGCGAGTGCAGCTTTCTCTCCAAGGTTTGCAGCGGGTGCTGGGACTCAGAGAGGCAGAGCCCCTGGGGACAGGACTGAGAGCCGCCATAACTGCTCTCTCCGGCCCACCCTGTTGATCCTGTTCGACTCGCCCCGCCCAAGCCCTGCACAAAGGCATTTGCCGGATAGCCTCAGGCAAAGGCTAGATTAGCACCTCCCTAGAGGACAGAAGTTCTCTCACTGCAGACACAGCTGATTCTCATAGCCACTTGGCCTAGAGGTCAAACCCTCCCTGGTATTAGCTACAACAATCAAGGTTTAACTATAAGACTGCGCACAAAGACCACTAGGGGGTGCACCAAGGAAGCATAACAAAATGCGGAGACAAAGAAACAGGACAAAATTGTCAATGGAAGATATAGAGTTCAGAACCACACTTTTAAGGTCTCTCAAGAACTGTTTAGAAGCCGCCGATAAACTTAATGTGATCTACAAGAAAACTAATGAGACCCTCGATGTTATATTGGGGAACCAACTAGAAATTAAGCATACACGGACTGAAATAACAAATATTATACAGACTCCCGACAGCAGACTAGAGGAGCGCAAGAATCAAGTCAATGATTTGAAATGCGAGGAAGCAAAAAACACCCAACCGGAAAAGCAAAATGAGAAAAGAATCCAAAAATGC